ACAGAATCGCTTTGCCAAAGAAAAAAAGTCCTCATCGGTACCCGCAAAATTAAACTGAATGGGGCGGGGGCCCCACATGCATGCACACAGACACACAGAGATCCAGCAACCTTCCTCTGAGGGTCCCTCCCTCAAAAAAAGGCACACTCAGGCGGGCTGGCTGGCAGGCTGCAGTTCCGGATGGAGTTCAGAAACTGGAACTGATTGGCATGTTAGGCGTCACACGGATCTAATGCACCTGAGAAGTGATTAGTATGTGCTAATTATTTCCCATAGTCTTCCAGCTGAAATGCTCTTAAAATCTGTAAAAAAAGGGTCTGGTAATATTTTGTGCTGTGCAGCCATATAACCTCAATTCAGTGGCAAGTTTGGGATTTGCTTAAATCACTACGTATCTCTTAAATTATTATTTGTTACTTTTGCCTCTGCTCATTCTGTGAGGATCTCAGGGTCAGCTTACGTGGGATTTTCCAGTCACAACACAGTAGGTCACGCTGAGGCTGGGTAAAATGTCTCAAGAAGGACCAGGCAACTGTGCCCCTCCAGGTGGTCTTGGCCTACAACTCCGATAATCCCTCATGTTGATTAGGGGTGACAGGTACGCTGGGCAGGTCTATGGTTTAGATATTTAGCTGTGGATATATCTAAACCATTGACCTCCTTGAAAAGGGCTGGGCTCAAAGATCCATAGGGCCCTTTCCATCTCTGCAGTTCTAAGATCTCAGACTGTGACCCTCCGCGTGGTTTTCACTTACAGTGCCTATAATCCCTCAAGCTGATTAGGGATGGCAAGTGTTCCAGGATGAAAAAAATCTGGAGAACCACACTTGCCCATCCTGGCCTACATCAGGAACAAAGCTATCACTTTTCTATGTAGATTTCTTTTCCAAACTATATGGGGAGGCTCGCAAGCTGAAAGCTGAACAGGAAGAGAACCCATTGGACATCTGTGGAGCTTGTTGTCTGAAGACAGTTATCTATCTGCTGTCAAAAAGTAGTCTCTCACTACAACATGTTTCCTTGAGCTTCCCATGAGGCTGTTAATACCTAGATAGACAGGAGGCATTTCCAAGTTCTTGGTAAAATAACAAGGTGGTGTCAATATCTTTAAAATGCGATCAAAAAAAGCCACTGGAACGCATTAAAACTCACTGTACAGTGATGTTTTCCGGGTCCGGCAGCCATTTTCGCGCTCTCAGTAAGTGAGGGGAGGGCGCGCAAACGCTGCGCGTGGCCATTTCGGCCGCAGTGAGAGTGCGGATCAGCTGTTCGGCGGGTCCAAAATGGCCGCCGTTCTCTATGGGGAAAAATCACTTTGCGATGATCAGTACCCTGTTTCGCTTACCGATCATCGCAAAGCGATGATTTTTTAACAGCTGATCGGCGGTTCCAAAATGGCCGCCGTTTAAAAAAAATGGCCGCCCGCTGTTTTCTGGGACAGATTCCTCGCTTACCGGGCAGCGAAAATGGCCGCCGTATGGAGGATTTTTGCTTAAAGGTGAGTCTGAAGCCCATAGGAACGCATTGAAGGGGTTACAATGCATTCCTATGGGCTTTTTAATATCGCATAGCGACGAAATCGCTTTGCAGCGATTTTTGCTGCACCGATTATCGTCGCTATGCGAGGCACCACTGTACATCATTCTTAGTTGACACCCCCACCCCACCCCAAAGAAATTGATAAATAAGAAATAAGATGGGGCAGGATTCTCCTGGACTGTCCTGTTGTTTGTTTGGCAAATTTAATCATTAGACAAGCCCCACCCCCCTTCATTTTTTGGTTTTTCACTGCCACAGACTTCAAGCAAAGCAACAGCTTAGCAGGCAGCCTTGCTGACAGTGGGATGTTGGAGCAATGGCCATCGAGAACAGCTACAAGAAGTATACTGTGGCTCAGCCATAAACTTAGCTTTTGTTATTGAGGTTCATTTATTTATTTATTTATTTTATACCCTGCCTATCTGTTCAAAATGACCACTCTAGGCGGCTTCCAGATATATAAACACAATAAAATGTACATATAACAAAAAACCAATATACTATACACAAT